AACTTTAATTAAAATCTCTTCTCAAACTTAGTATAATTTAAATGAGAATTTTTAAAAATTTAAAAAATTATGCAATTCTAAATTAATTCCATGCAAATGTAATAATTAATTAACATGCATAAATAAATATGCAATTCTAAATTAATCTCATGCAAAAGTAATAATTAAATAACATGCATAAATAAATAAATAAATAATATAATGCACATAATAAAATTTAAATAAATAAATCCACTATTATGACTATTAAATACTGAGTCGTCTTAAACAAGGAAACCTTATATATTCTTTCCCTGTTCAACTGGAACTCCCATTGCAGTAGAATCCTGGTTGATATTGTACTGCTTGGCCATCAAGTAAAACCTCTCCACCTGCGGCCGCTGGCCGCCGCCCGTTGATGGTCGAAAAAATTAACCGTTTTTTATTTTTCGTCTATCGCGCGCGCGAGGCGCACCGCAGCCGGGTCGCAGCGGCCCCCTTCACTGTCGTGCGTTACTGCCGCCGATTCGGTGGCTCCTCTGGCCCGATCCAGTTGCATTTTCCGTGGTTTGTTGATCTCTTGTGATCCTTCAGTCATCAATCCACTGATTACAATACGAAAAATATAATTTATAAAATTACATAATCCGATCCTTGATCCAAAGAATGGATGTACATGTTTTCCTAAACAAATAATTAAATCTATCCGGTCAACTCCTGGGCGAATAATTATTACAAACATTCATCCAAAAATTACTCGACATGTCCGAGGCTTTAAAAACAAATTTAAAACCATACATCACATTCAACAACATTCATCAAACACATAGTCGGCTATTATAGTGGATTAAACTAATTGCTGCAAAACCAAGTTATGCGAATATAATTCAATATATGGCTGCGTTTGAACACATCTTATCAAATAAAGCCGTAAAAATTCGAACTTTGTACAAAACGAATTAACCAAGTGCTCTGATACCACTTGTTGGGATCTACGAGGATCTCGTTATGTACAAGTTACGAATTCAATAGCAAACGTAAACCTATGCGCATCGCATCTAAAAGTTTGACGTAGAAAACTTAGGGGGTGATTGGATATGGAATCAACTAACAAAAATTGTTTTTTTTAACTATAGTTAAGTTTTTAAAAAAAAAAAAGTAGTATGGTTAGTTGTTAGTGGATACATTATATTTAAATTAAAATAATTGAAGTTGATTTGATGTAAAAGTAGGAGAAAATGATTGGAAGTGATGGTTAGTTAAAATTATGTGAGTGGGTGATTAGTGAATTAAAGTAGATGTGATGTGTACTAATGATTGATTGATATTATTTAATTATATTGATAATATTAGAGATAGTGGAGTTGAGTTAAAGTTGAGTTAAATTTGAGTTTTGAGTGGGATATTTACTGTACAATTGATATACAATCACGCCCTTACAGCTTAAAATTTTCTGAATCTAGTGGATTCAGGATGACCGAGATTGGAACACGAGCAGGCCGGGACACGATCGGGTCGTGAGTCGAAGCTCCAGTCGTGTTGCGTTGAGGTCGCCTGTCGGGTCGTGTCGTGGGGCTGGTGCCCCGGTCGTGTCGCGCGGGCTGGCTGGGTCGCAGTGGTCCTCCAGTTTGGTCGCTGCGTCGATCGACTGGGGTCGGCTCGCGACGGGTCTGGCTCGTCGGGTCGGCGGTACGGCGGGTTGGGCTCGTCGCTGGGTCGGCTCTGGTTGATCACGGGGTTGATGAATATATGTATCTCAATTACCACGAGATCTTCTACTGTATCTCAAACACCTCTTCAACTTGTATCGGTGGAGCAACAAGAAGAAGATACAACTCGAACAGAAAACTTAGAGAGAGAGCCGCGGCGTGTTGTTATAATACACACGTAGGAGAATTCTGATCTCTTCTTCTCTTTTCCATGAGCCTAATGGTGTATTATATAGAGCTACAGTAGGGACCATTAGGAGATTAGGAATAGAGTTCTTAATTAATTAGACCAACTGTGGGCCAAGCTCATTCTTCTAATTAATTAAATAATAATATAGGTCACTAACATAATATTATTGCACTTCATTTTCTTAGCCCAATTTACAATTGAGACTCCAATAATAATTACCTAATTACCTCCACATGTTTAAGATATAATGTCCATTAATTAATTCGATTACTGACAATTAATAATTAATTAATATATTATTATTTTACCAAAGCTAGCGCTCGTTCATAACAGTATTACTATGTCGAAATTTAATCTACCTGTAGGGTTTAACATAATAATCTTTCATGAACTCACTTCGGATACATCATCAAACTAAACGTACATGGTGACCGTAAATATCCTAACAACATATCATATATATGACGATCAGTATAAAACGAACTCTCCTCTTTGAGGTCCTATATTTTCCACACTATTTTTTTTTTTTATTTTATTTTTTATGTCCATGGGGCAAATAAATCATTTTGTCCTTTGGTATGTGACTAATGGAGTTAGTCTAAGACACTTTATGAGTTGGGTTAGCCTTTGAAAAAGAAACACCAAATTGGATCCGATTATTAAATCCATAAAACTACATGTTCAATAGTTGGCTAATCAGTTATTAATTTATTAATGTTTGTGAACATTAAGTAATACTTTAGATAATAAATTTATGTAAGAAATTGTTTATTAAATATTGATAATTTAAAATATGTAAATGCCTAAAATCATTATATAGTAGTACCATACTCAAAATATATCTAAACGTATATTTTTATTTATTTAACAATGTATTTAAATATATTGACTTATTCCACTTATAAAAAACACGGTTCGACCGACCTGATTCCAACTTATTTTTTTGGCTCAATCGGCCAACAATCATTTTCGATTGGGTTGT